GCGACAGACAGAGTGAGACTCTGTCTCAAAAAAAAAAAAAAAAAAAATTTGAACTACAAAGTTAATATATATTTTACCACTCAGGCTGATAGCATGCTGTAATTGTGTAAGAAGAAGCCATTGGGGGATGGTGGGTGAAGGGTGCCAGGGCCTCTCTGTCCTATCTTGGCAGCTTCCCGAGAATCTTGTTACTATTTCAAAATAAAAAGTATGTTTAAAAAAAAAATCAGGCTGTCACCAAGTACAGGTTAACTGGCTGTGAGAATCTTGAAACATAGTCACAAGCAAATGTGTGGCTACTGCTTGGAAAATCAGCTTTAAATGGACTTGAGCTGATCAAATGAACCCACAGTGTAGAGGCCGGGGCTAATTTCCTACTTGAAAGTAGGAGGGACACAAGGAAATAATTTTCAAAAGAGAATCTGAACCTGACACCTTCATTCTGACCCATTTGCCGTGGGTTCTCCATGATCTCGGGGTAGACTCTCAAAATGGGCACAGGGAGATGCCTGGCAACCATCTAGGCGTGTGACCAGTTTCACTATCTACCCTCCCACAGCAGTGCCAATTTAAAAATGCAAATTATCATGTGGCCTAGATTCCTTTCGATGTGGTGAGACATTTTATTTCTTTCTGGCTACCGTTAATTGTACAAAATGAGCCAGACATTCTAAAATAATTTCCAGTAAATCCAAACTTTGCCAATGATTGAAAACAAAAAAAGCCAAAAGCAAACCCCCAAGCTCTTTGAGCAGCACCATGCTGAGACCCGTGTCTGTGGGGAGAGCATTTGCTGCCACACCACGTTCTATTTATAGCCCCACCTGGGCAAGCGTGAGCGCAGCAGAAACAGAACCAAGGATGAGAGAAAATCACAGCCAAAAGGAGCTGATGCGTGGATACACCCCGCTTTTAATAACCGCATCTAAACAGCACTAGCACATCTGACCAGCTGTCAGCTGGGGCCAGGCACAACGGCTTACGCCTGTAATCCCAGCATTTTGGGAGTCAGAAGCAGGCGGATCACCTGAGGTCAGGAGTCTGAGACCAGCCTGGTCAACACAGTGAAACCCTGTCTCTACTAAAAATACAACAATCTGTAGGATGTGGTGGCAGACGCCTATAATCCCAGCTACTTGGGAGGCTGAGGCAGGAGGATCGCTTGAACCTAGGAGGTGGAGGCTGCAGTGAGCCGAGTTCCTGCCACTGCACTCCAGCCTGGGCAACAGAGCCAGAGCCTGTCTCAAAACAACAACAAAAACACAAACACATACCAAAAAAACAGCCAATTTGATGACATTTGGAAAATCTGTAATCCCATGTAAAAATCAACGGGTCAATTCACCAAACTTTTCCAGCGTTCAGTTGGTTGTCTGGGATCATACAGACCTCACAGGCTGCTCGTGATATCCTACCAAGGGCGCTGGCCATGTTTAAGTAAAAATACACACTTTGGATGCCAACCTAAGAATCTTATTTACTGCTTTAGTCAAGAAGGAGGAGACGGTCTTTACTTGTGACTTCCTCCCAAGTGAATGAGTATACCATTTAACAAACTAGCACAGTTCAATTTGTTCACTTATAATGTGTAGTCTCCTAATGTAGCTCAATGTATGGTGGACACTAGATATGAACAAGAGAAGGGAAGTCTTTTGCACCTCCAGGATGTGTGCCGGCTTTTAAATTCAGAAAGATTAATTAGAAGCTACAGTGCAACTTATTTTTATCTACAGATGCGGCCAAAAGAAGAAATGTTTATCAGATGTCGAATGACACAGTTGTAAATTGGCAGGTGGCAGCTTTCCACATAATTTTCATCAGCAAGTGAAACTTGATCATAGCCCAAACAAGACAAGGCAATTCAGGTGCCCGGGCCCTGAAGTCCACCGTGAGACTACAGGAACACGGCACTGTGGTGCTTGCCAGCCAGTCTCTTGAAGAACTGCCTGTAACAGTCACAGTTGTGGGGAGAAACAACTCCATTTTTTTTAAGTTTTTTTTTTTTTTAATCATATTAAATATAAGTCTTAGCACCTTTGGCATTTTTGTCCAAATAGACTTCGACATAGGAAGTGGGGACATAGCCCTCTTCATCTTCATTCCTCCGGATGCGGGTCCAGCCGTCGCCTTTGTCTTCCTCTATGACGTACAGTGTTTCCCCTTCAACTACGGAAATCGTTCCTTCATTCTGACCTGAAAAAGCAGTATCGGGACATTTTAGATTTCTTGGCAAATGCAGGTAGAAAGCAAACTGTGGCCATCACGCCTGTAGTCCCAGCACACTGGGAGGCCGAGGTGGGTGGATCACGAGGTCAGGAGATTGAGACCGTCCCGGCCAACATGGTGAAACCCCGTCTCTACTAAAAATACAAAAATTAGCCAGGTGTGGTGGCGCATGCCTGTAGTTCCAGCTACTTGGGAGGCTGAGGCCGAAGAATCGCTTGAACCCTGGAGGCAGAGGTTGCAGTGAGGTGAGATTGTGCCACTGTGCTCCAGCCTGGTGACAGAGCAAGACTGTTTCAAAAAAAAAAAAAAAAAAAAAAAAAAAAAAGCAAACTGTGGCCTTTGCAATGAAACAAGTGTCATCAAGGATGAAATCCAGGCCAGGCGCGGTGGTTCACACCTGTAATCCCAGCACTTTGGGAGGCCAAGGTGGGTGGATCACGAGGTCAGGAGATCGAGGCCATCCTGGCCAACATGGTGAAACCCCGTCTCAACTAAAATACAAAAAAGAAAAATTAGCCGGGCGTGTTCTCACACGCCTGTAGTCCCAGCTACTTGGGAGGTTGAAGCAGGGGAATTGCTTGAACCTGGAAGGCGGAGGTTGCAGTGAGCCGAGACTGTGCCACTGTACTCCAGCCTGGCAACAGAGCGGGACTCTGTCAGATGCACTGACCCTTCATCCACTGCTGCAAAACTTTCTCGTTCCACACAGAAATGTGCAGGTTCCTGCCTCTGTCTCTCTAAGAACCTCTCTACGTCCTCCAGGGCTTCTTTCTCCTACCTCCCCAAATGGCAAGCATCTCCCCCAGGAGAAATCTTTGGTCCTCTTCTCTAGTCTTCCGTTTCCCTTGGATCTTTCCTGGGGGAAAGGTACTTCCATGGCTCCAACTGCTTCTCTCTCTTTTTTTTTGAGACAGAGTCTTGCTCTTGTTACCCAGCCTGGAATGCTATGGTGCGATCTTGGCTCACTGCAACCTCCACCTCCCCGGTTCAAGCAATTCTCCTGCTTCAGCCTTCCAAATAGGTGAGACTACCTGCCGCCACGCCCAGCTAACCTTTGTATTTTTAGTAGAGTCAGGGTTTCACTACATTGGCCAGGTTGGTCTCAAACTCCTGACCTTAGGTAATCCACCCATCTTCGTCTCCCTTGTTTTTTTTTTTGAGACGGAGTCCTGCTCTGCTGCCCAGGCTGGCGTGCAATGGCATGATCTTGGCTCACTGCAACCTCTGCCTTCTGGGTTCAAGCAAGTCTCCTGCCTCAGCCTCCTAAGTAGCTGGGATTACAGCCACATGCCACCATGCCCAGCTAATTTTTTATTTTTAGTAGAGATGGGGTTTTACCATGTTGGTCAGGCTGGTCTCGAACTCCTGATCTCAGGTGATCCGCCTGCCTCAGCCTCCCAAACTGCTGGGGTTGCACGTGTGAGCCACCACAGGTGGTCACTAGGCTCATCTTTCTAACCATCCTCCTGTGTTCTAATTGATCCTACACTTCTGACAACGACTTCCCCAAGGTACAGCTCTCATCGCATCAACATCCTGCTCAAGGACCTTCAATAGCTCCTCAGTGTTTGCCACATAAAATCCAGACGTTTCTCCAACCTCGCCCCAAATGGGACTTCCCAATTTTTAGGGCCACATTTCACTATGAGGACTTAAGACATCTAGGCTCCAGCAACAAGACACCCATGCTTGGCCACACACCCCCATGCATGGCAAGTTCTTGAAACTTCCTTAAGGAAATGACCTCATTCTCCCCTGTCCTCCCCATTCCTCTGTATCCCTCCTCTGGCAAACACTGCAAGCTGCTGCTCCTTTTAATTTTTTAAAATTTTTATTTATTTGTTTATTTTTGAGACGAAGTCTCGTTCTCTCGCCCAGCCTGGAGTGCAGTGGCGCGATCTCGGCTCACTGCAACCTCTGACTCCCTGGTTCAAGCGATTCTCCTGCCTCAGCCTCACAAGTGGCTGGGACTACAGGCACATGCCACCACGCCCAGCTAATTTTTGTATTTTTAGCAGAGATGGGGCTTCACCTTGTTGGCCAGGATAGTCTCGATCTCCTGACCTTGTGATCCATCCACCTCGGCCTCCTAAAGTGTTAAGATCACAGCCATGAGCCACTGCGCCCAGCTGATTTTTGTATTTTGGGTAGAGATGGGGTTTCACCATGTTGGCCAGGATGGTGTTGATCTCCTGACTTCGTGATCCGCCCGCCTCGGCCTCCCAAAGTGTTAGGATTACAGGCGTGCACCGCCGCGCCCGGCCGCTGGCCGCTCCTTAAGTGTGTCTGGCTGATTTCCCTCTGGACAGGTGCCATATCGTACCACCTGCACCCCACTCCTTCATGGGCCTTCACGAGACAGGAGCTCTATAGATACTAGATGTTAAATGAATGGATGAAATCATCATCTTCCATATCATCCACTGCAGTGAAGTTCTCTGGAAGCTGTTAAGTTATACGAACCACAAGTCAGACTACATAACCAAATAATAATCATACCATGAGTAGGATAAAAGCATCGTAGAGAAAGATCTGGAAGGCTGCTGTTGCTCTGTCACCCGGACTGGAGTACAGTGGTGCTCTCAGCTCACTGCAACCTCCGCCTCCCGGGTTCAAGTGATTCTCGTGCCTGAGCCTCCCAAGTAGCTGGGATTACAGGCATGTGCCACCATGCCCAGCTAATTTTTGTCTTTTTAGTAGAGATGGGATTTCACCATGTTGGCGAAGCTGGTCTTGAACTCCTGGCCTCAAGTGATGTGTCCCCCTCAGCCTCCCAAAGTTCTAGGATTACAGGTGTGAGCCACTATGCCCGGCCAGATCTAGAAGACTTTTAAAGAACGTTCTGGTCACAGAGAACAGTGTGGCTAGGCACAGTGACTCACACCTATAATCACCACATTTTGGGAGGCTGAGGTGGGAGGACTGCTTGAATCTAGGAGTTCAATAGCAGCCTGGCCAACATAGTGAGATCTTGTCTCTACTGAAATATACAAAAATTAGCCAGGCATGGTGGTGCTTGCCTATGGTCCCAGCTACTCAGGAGGGCGAGGCTGGAAGATCACTTGAGCCCGGGAGGTCAAGACTGCAGTGAGCCATGACTGCGCCACTGCACTCCAGCCTGGGCAAGAGAGTGAGACCTTGTCTGGGGGGGAAAAAAAGGAAGAAAAGTGAAAGAAGAGTGACGCAGATATTATGGTTTATAAAAGGCAGGGGAATCCAGCAGACATGAAATGTCACCTTCAAACGTGTAGAGAGCTTTGCACGTCCCTATGGCAGGGAGGGGCTCCTCATCATCAAATTCGTCGTCAAAATCCGTGGCCAGCACCTTCACCTCACTCTCCTGACTCTGCTCCTCTGTGTAACTGCCATCTGGGCTGCTCAAGAAAGGAAAACACAACGCAACTAAAGCGACTGGCCCAGGGAGGACTCAGAGTGAGTCCCTGCGACTGCAAAGCACTTGCGACCCCTGCCCCTCACTGAGTGCTGTCACTGAGACCATGGTAAATCATCCGCACACTGAGATCACCCAGCCTGTGTGGAATTATAAATCTGCGTCATGGGGAAAGTGACAGGTCCACCTTCACAGGCATTTTGGCATCGAACAAGTGCCTTATGCTTATTTCCAGGTCCCGAAATTTAAAAATGTAAATACAAAGCCAGCAGGCTCCCTTGCCAGAGGCAGGTGCTGTGCAGATACTGTACCTCTCGCGGTCCTGGGCGCAGTTGTTGACGGTGGGTGTGTTCTGGCTGTCGTACAGTCCGCTCTGCCGGCGCATCTGCTCACTGCGTGCTGGGAGCCGGCCTTCAACCTCAGCCAGCCAGGCCTGGAGACACAAGCAATGAGAGACTCCAACCTAAGGTCATCTGAGGGCCAGCCCAGAGTGTCCTAAGGTCCCAAAGGCCATCGGAGGGCCAGCCCAGAGCATCCTAAGGTCCAAAGGCCATCGGAGGGCCAGCCCAGAGCGTCCTAAGGTCCCAAACTCAGGAGCTATTCTTGGTCATCTAACCCAATGTGACAAGGTCCACACGAGGGCAGAATGGCCACATTTTCTGCATTTGACTGTTTAAATGTACTCAAGGGCGGGTGCTTCCATTTCACTCGAAGTTGGAGACGTAGAAGCAAACTCATATTTATGTGGTTGCCCATGACGGGGCAGAAAGCATACCAGACTGCGTTATTCCCTTGGGCTTTTAAGCAGTGGTGCAATCTTGGATAAGCCACTTCTAGCTCCTTTTTTTTTTTTCTTGAGAAGGAGTCTCGCATTGTTGCCCAGGCTTGAGTGCAATGGTGCAATCTCTGCTCACTGCAACCTCTGCCTCCCAGGTTCATGTGATTCTCCTGTCTCAGCCTCCCAAGTAGCTGGGACTACAGGCACCCACAACCACGCCTGGCTAATTTTTTGTATTTTTTTTTAGTAGAAACAGGGTTTCACTATGTTGGCCAGACTGGTCTCGAACTCCTGACCTCATGATCCGCCTGCCTCAGCCTCCCAAAATGCTAGGATTACAGGCGTGAGCCACCATGCCCGGCCCTAGTTCCTTCTTGACCATGAGGTCACCCTGTGACACCTGAGGGTACAGCCATGCTTAAGCAGTGACTTGGTTTGAAAGCCACACTTCCCATTTTTTAACTTTTTTTGATAGAAATGAAATTTGTACTTAAAAATTAAAGTAGATAAAATAATCTTCAGCAACATCTGAAACAGTATAAAGAAGTCAAAGGAATAAAAATGACCAGAAGCCTGGGCACGGTAGCTCAGGCCTATAACCCCAGCACTTTGGGAGGCTAAGGTGGGCGGATCACGAGGTCAGGGTTCAAGACCAGCCTGGTCAACATGGTGAAACCCTGTCTCTAATAAAAATACAAAAATTAGCTGGGCATGGTGGCCCAGCCTGTAGTCCCAGCTACTCAGGTGGCTGAGGCACAAGAATACTGGAACTCAGGAGATGAATCGTTGCAGTGAGCTGAGATGGCACCATTGCACTCCAGCCTGGGTGACAAAGTGAGACTCTGTTTCAAAAAACAGACAAAAACAGAAAAGGACAGTTCTAAATTCTAAAAGCTCAAATGAACATTACTGATGGATTCTGAAAAGAATGAAAAAAGTTGGCTGGGTGTGGTGGTTCACGCCTGTGATCTCAGCGCTTTGGGAGGCCAGTGTGGGTGGATCACCTGAGGTCAGGAGTTCGAGACCAGCCTGGCCAACATGGTAGAACCCCATCTCTACTAAAAATACAAACATTAGCCAGGTGTGGTAGAATGTCCTGTAGTCCAAGCTACTTGGGAGGCTGAGGCAGGAGAATTGCTTGAACCCAGGAAATAAAAGTTGCAGTGAGCCAAGCTCATGCCACTACACTCCAGCCTGGGCAACAGAGCGAGACTCCGTCTCAAAAAAAAAAAAANAAAAAAAAAAAAAAAAAAAAAGAATGAAAAACGCCATAGCTGACCTTTCATTGCTGGAAACAGTCTACCAGTCTCATTGGTAGAATTGGTTGCTGATGTATTTCCCATGCTCTGTAGTCTTTCAGTGTGGTGTGGAGAGTGGGTTAAGGAGGCTTTTGTTGACAGCTTTTGAGTGCTCCTCTCCCTCCCTCAAACCTTTATGATTTATGTTTCCTGCTTGTTTCTCATTTGTGTTTCCTGCTGGTTCTCACAAACACACCCTTTCCATAATGGGCATAAAGAACAATTGCATACTTCAGTGAATTTTTTCATTGCTTTTTTGATTCACTGGGATAATGGATTGCTCTATACTCCCAATTTATTACCATGAGACGTAGCAGAATAACTAAAACGACAAAAAAATACTGGCCAGGTGTGGTGGCTCATGTCTGTAATCCCAGCACTTTGGGAGACCAAGGTGGGAACACAGCTTAAGGCTAGGAGTTCAAGACCAGTCTGTGCAACAGAGCAAGACCCCGACTCTAAAACAAATAAAACTTAGCCGGGTAGGGTGGCATGTGCCTGTAAGCCCAGCTCCTCAGAGGCTGAGCCAAGGAGATCAAGGCTGCAGTGGGCTATCATCATGCCACCGCTCTCCAGCCTGGGCAAGAGAGCAAGACCCTGTTTCCAAAATTAAAAAAAACAAACAACCCCCACACCCCCCACTGTATACAAATAAAACATTAAACACTGTCAGTTTTTGTGTGTGTTTTTTTTTTTTTAGATGGAGTCTCACTCAGCCGCCCAGGCTGAAGTGCAATGGTGCATTCTCGACTTACTGCAACCTCTACCCCTCAGGTTTAAAAGATTCTCCAGCCTCAGCCTCCCGAGTAGCTGGGACTACGGGCACGTGCCACCATGTCTGGCTAATTTTTTTGTATTTTTAATAGAGATGAGGTTTCACCACATTGGCCAGGCTGGTCTTAAACTCCTAACCTCAGGTGATCCACCCACCTTGGCCTCCCGAAGTGCTGGGATTACAGGTGTGAGCCACCGCACCCAGCCAACACTGCCGGTTTTTACAGACACAATTAACATAGGCTATGATGAGAAGCAGAAGGTTCAACAGCGAACAGTGTATTTTTCCTTTGACTGTAACTCATGACACAAACCGCCATTCCCACTGTCTCCCCCAGTGAGAGGACTGTCAGGGCCCCACACCATTCTACACCAAGGAACATCTTTTCTTCTTTATTCCAGCAAAGCTTTTTGACAATGGAAGTTTCATACCTCAAATTTCTGGGTTTCTAGTCGCAGTTTCTCTATATTTTGGCTGACTTCTGCTAATTTGTGATCCAAACTGGCTGGATCTCCCATCTGAGGATTCTTTAGGTAGACATCTTTCATTTTTGTTATGGCATCTCTGAAAGGAAGAACAAGTAGAACGCTGTAAAGGTTGCTCTTTTTTTTTTAGATGGAGTTTTGCACTTGTCAACCAGGCTGGAGTACGTGGTGCGATCTCGGCTCACTGCAACCTCCACCTCCTGGGTTCAAGCAGTTCTCCTGCCTCAGCCTCCTGAGTAGCTGGGATTATAGGAGTGTGACACCACGCCCAGCTAATTTTTGTATTTTTAGTAGAGACAGGGTTTTGCCATGTTGGCCAGGATGGTCTCGAACTCCTGACCTCAGGTGATATGCCCATCTTGGCTTACCTAAAGTGCTGGGATTACAGGCATGAGCCACTGCGCTAGGCCAGTGTTACTTTTGTCAGCCAATATTCTACCACTTTGAAAAGCAAATGAGGGCCGGGTGCAGTGGCTCACGCCTGTAATCTCAGCACTTTGGGAGGCTGAGGTGGGCAGATCACGAGGTCAAGAGATCAAGACCATCCTCACCAACATGGTGAAACCCCATCTCTACTAAAAATATAAAAAATTAGCCAGGCATGGTGGCATGTACCTGTAATCCCAGCTACTCAGGAGGCTGAGGCAGAATCGCTTGAACCTGGGAGGTGGAGGTTGAAGTGAGCCAAGGTTGTGCCACTGCATTCCAGCCTGGGTGACAGAGCGAGACTCCATCTCAAAAAAAAAAAAGGTATGAATGGAAATGTGGGAAGATTAGAGTATGCATTATAAGGGACTACTGGGCCAGCTTCCATTCTGGCAATTCTCTGTAAGAATTCTGCTCTCAAGGGCTATAAACACAGAACCTGAGTTTTAAATTTTAGTTCCCGTCTCTGGATGGTATCTCCTCATTGTCCCCAATAAATGAGGAACATATATTAATACTGCCCTTCCCTTTGCCCCAAACAACAAGAAAAACAAACAAAACCCAAGAATTAAAAAAAAAAAATTATTTATTTACTTATTTTGAGACCAGTTTATGAGACTGGGTAATTTTTGTATTTTTAGTAGAGAAGGCGTTTTGCCATGTTGCCCAGGTTGGTCTTGAACTCCTGGCCTCAAGCCATCCACAGGTCTTGGCCTCCCAAAGTGCTGGGATTACAGGTATGAGCCACCGAATCTGGCTTCAAAACCCAAGTATTTCCAACATAGTGAAACCCTGTCTCTACCAAAAATACAAAAATTAGCTGGGTGTGGTGGCATGTGCCCATAATTCCAGCTACTTGGGAGGCTGAGGCGGGAGAATTGCTTGAACCTAGGAGGTGGAAGTTGCAGTGGACTGAGATTGTGCCACTATACTCCAGCCTGGGCGACAGAGCGAGACTCTGTCTTAAAAACAAACATACAAACGAACAATAAAACAAACATTTCCACGTGTGCATTCTTCATGCAAACCCAAGCTACGCTGGCATCCTGAGTCTCACGGACTGCAATATGCTCACCTGACAAGCAGTTAATTGCTCTGGCAATGTTAACACACATCCATTTCAAAGAAACTGAATCCACAGCTAGAATCCACGACAGGTAAGCGACAGAGCCTTAAAGCTACACACGGTGGATCCCACATCCTTAAAGAAACCCTGTTTTGAAGCAGCCCACAGCAGTGTGGGCAGGCATCCCTAGAGAAGTTCGGGTGTGTTGGGGTTTAAGACCAAAGGGCTCTGCTCATTTGGCCCTCATGGCAGGGCACCTTTGGAAGGCTTTGAGTCATGAAAAGTCTAGAGCAGGCCACGCGTGGTGGCTCATGCCTGTAATCCCAGCACTTTGGGAGGCTGAGGCGGGTGGATCACGAGGTCAAGAGATCGAGACCATCCTGGTCAACATGGTGAAACCCCATCTCTGCTAAAAATACAAAACATTAGCTGGGCATGGTGGCGCGTGCCTGTAGTCCCAGCTACTCAGGAGGCTGAGGCAGGAGAATCTCTTGAACCCAGGAGGCGGAGGTTGTGGTGAGCCGAGATCGCACCATTGCACTCCAGCCTGGGTAACAAGAGCGAAACTCTATCTCAAAAAAAGAAAAAAAGAAAAGAAAAGAAAAGTCTAGAGCAAATGACTGCCAGGGCTAAGGAGCCAACTTTGATGAGTATCAGCAAAAGAAAATGCAAACCAGGTCATACGATACAATCGGAAGCCAACAGACAAACCAAAAGATACATTCTGAGTCATGGGAAATAGTTTAACAAAGCACACAAATAGCAAGAGAGCTTCCACAAGTCCTCACCACCCTCCACCTTTGAGCCTGAGACCCACTTGGACTCCCAGCCGCTTTATCTAGTTTCTTTCCTCTCTTCCTTCCTGTCTTCCTCATTTCCTGCCTGCCTTCTTTCCCACAGCATGCATCATTCATTATTATTAGGTTTATTGTTCACTGTCTGTCTCCTGCTGTTAGAATGGAAGCTCTTGGAGGAAGCTCCATGATCTCAAGTTCCGTGGTTAACCTGATGTATCCCAAGTGTCAGGACCATCCTCGGCACATAATAGATGCGCAGTAAGTATTTGTCAAATAAGTAAATATTTAAATAAACATTTAAAAATAATGTTTATAAATAATTTTTAAATACAGTTGTAAATGTTAAATGTCCTTAAAAATGTTTACATAAACATTTATTTAACAAATATATTTAACAAATAATAACCATTACAAACCAAGTGAAATGGTGTCTACCCTTATGATGTCCTTTTTTTTTTTTTT